CAATAAAGCTCAAATCATGGGTTATGCGTAAAAGCCATTGTTAAGAGAAGTCTTAATTGAATTTTATCCGACTTTTTCTTGTCATCGGGAAGATCCTGTATGGTTTCAACGATAAATTGGGGTATATCACATTTCTGTTTAATTTCAAGAATGCTGTCTGTTAAGATTGATTTTATTCATGTTGCCCAGCCTATTTTTGTTAAGAATATTTGAGATGTCTAAATGTTTAGTGTGTTGTAATCATGTACAGGATTGTATTCAGTGTAAATTTTTGTCACCATCCCTGTAGTACGGATAAAGTTACATCTTTTAACAATGTATTAATTGAATTGTCATTGAATTTCCGAAAGAACTTCCAAAGTTTGAAATGAAACGAAATGCGGTTTAACATCTTACTTTTCTGTATCAACCGGGCTAATGAAGAGAGGCGTTGCCAGGAGATCTTTTTCGTCTCATCCGAACGAACCTCTAGATATTTTTTCCTAATAAGGCAAACAAAAAGCGTTGGTGAAACAAAGGTTTCCAGGAAGGTTAAGCATACATTGTCTCGTTCACAAAACGTGGTTCCCCTTGTCAGTGATGCAGGACGGAGGGCCTGACAAGGACAGCTGTCTAGTCGTTCGGATGGGACGAAGTCCCGTGTTCACATTGGCGTGCACGTAAAAGACCCCTTGACAGTTGGAATTCGATATAAGAGTAAGCCGTAGTGCCGCTGTCCAGGCAAAATTTCCCTCATAGCACACTGTATGGCTTATGCCCGTCTGCATTAGCCCAGTTCGGAGCAATGGCCCGAGAAATCTCTCCCTGGCCATTGCTGGATTGGCTTCTGATACATGAGCTTTTGAGGGAGCGTGTCTATTCTTTCCGTTCAATCAACTCTATCCCAAGTGCACCAACTACAGCAATATGACAGCCCTTCGTTTAATTTGGGGTCTTCCCCAAAAGGTATTAAAAACGGTGAAAGTATTGTTTGTTTCCAAACAGTATTGTTTACATTGTATCCATGTTGATAGCCTCGTTTGTCACACAATTAGTTTTTCTGCAATATTCTGCTATGCACTGGTTAATGGGGCATAATAAAATCGTGAGTCATGACGTAACGTTATGTAAACATATTTGGTCCAATTTGGAACATAAATTTGCTTCCATTACAGCAGTGTTAAGTGGGATTAGCTCTAATCAAACGAAACACTGCGAAGAGTATATGTATAAACAAATGATTATAATCCTCCCTGATAGAATATAATATAAGATGATATATTTAACACACGTTCTATTTCTATGTTCCGTTCTTGTTGTAGCTGTCTAAAAGAAGGTGCAGTTCTTTAATTATTCTGAAGGCGTTAAAATAAGACGAATGAGGCACACAAGCACACGCTGCTACTAATTAATCATAATTAATCATATTTTACCGACATCTAGCTGTACACGTGCATCGCATAGTGACATATATATTACCTCAAACCTGGCTATCAAATAACCAAAGTTCTTTAACTTATCTTACTATTATTATGCTATACACTAGCTGAGGATATTGAGAGTTGTGGCTGCATAGTGAGAATGGCATTGGCTCACTAACTAGGAGGTCCCAGGTTCTATCATGGCGTTGGTCGAGGAAATACCTCGTGATTTTTAAGTTTAGTTTCTCCTTGTCAGTGATGCGGGATGTAGGGCGTAACAAGGAAAAGGCGTCTAGTTTTTCGGATGGCGTCTGAAAGTTGGAGAGAGAGAGAAATGGGGTTTAACGTCCACTCGACACAAACTAGGTCATTTCGGGACTAACATATGGTTTTTAATTTTGTTTCAATAATTCGCTTGCGCATAGGGGCTTTAGCAGTGGGAGGAAACCGGAGGACCCGGAGAAAACCCACGAGGTTGGACAGGCGACCCTACTCCTTGTCACGTACAACCGGGAATTCGAAACCACGCCAGTCGACTCAATGACAGACTTTATGATACAGTGCGCGCACGCTAACCATTCAGCCATCCACCCCCCACCCCCCCTGAAAGTTGGAATAGGAAGAGTAATAATTATTCCAATGTATAGAACAAATAATGTCACTAATATTATCAGTCGAGAAAATTTGGCACCCAAACATTATCACTTATTTATCCCACTGCAGGACAATATTTTAATTGTTCACATGAAGATAAACACAAGTAAACATAATTTCAAAATATAAACAATAATTATGAACATTTAGTCTTCGCCAAAGCCCCACATTTTTTGATATCCGTATAGAGAACTACTTCCTCGAATCTTGAGTTATCGACCAGGCGCACACCCACTCCCACCCCCACCCCCACAGGTAAAAAGAATCACCCCTTCTGGTCCACATGCTTGGTTGGTAATGATGTTATGATCTTGAAAGAAATAATCAAAATAATTATACTGTCGCTGCGCTCGGCGTCTTTCATATCGTTTGCCTTGCGACCGCTTTTTTTTAAAAAAAAAGAAAATAGCTGCCGTTTTGTATTACTGAAACCTAGAACTTATTTTCTGTATAGGAAGGCGGCATCTAGATGCCAATGGTGATTCCAGCTAATTGTTGAATGCCATATAAATGGTTTAAAACGGTTTATTTTTGTTTTACAAAGACGTCCAGTTACATTTTAATGTCGTGATATTATTTATCCTGTAATGTGACATGCATATTTGCGAGCTTTATATACACGTGGTATATTAACAATACACTTATTCATATCACATGTAAATACACATCAATGAGAGATTACATGTATTCGTTCGTCAACAGGTGCGCTATACAGGTACAAAAATCAGTGAAAATCATACATTCATATGTATATTTTTCAATTTCAAGGAAATAATTGGTCGGATTATGGCTTTTATTGCAATACATTTGTATTTTTTGTAAGAAGAAGGAAAATCAGTGTGTAAAATCTGGACAAAATAATAATATTCCACTTGCTTAACAAAATATAATTATACCATACAATAGAGCACCTTAGTTTATATGAGAAGGGCCCTTCCATTTATGAATAATATTCATGAATATTTGTTATATATTTTGCTAGTCATTCATTAATCCAATTTGATATTTGTGAATGAATTGATTGAACAAGTTTTAAAGTTATTCCATTGTTGTGTTCTAGAGATTTTGTATATGACTACCGGGGTAATTGGTTGGTTGGTATTGTCGGAAATGATGAGTACAACTTGGCTATGGTTTAAAGTCACTGATCATCCTTTGTGAGAACTATTAATCCCTTTGCCACTATACAATATTGCGAACGTTGAATCGCTGAAACGGTTTAGTTCCGTTCAGTATTTACAAAGATATGCTGAACCGAAAGTTTCCTATATTTCGGCATACTCTGCCGACCATATAAATAAACAAGCCAGTTGGGCCTATACGTATTGGGTGAAATCTTTTGATGGGCCTCTTTTTAATCTGATTGAATACAAACCGGAAGGTATCTACCGTTGATGTTACGTTTTTGTTTTCTTAATTGAGGTGAATGTAAAATAATCAATTTAAGTAGATTTTAGCGTCAACTGAGCTCTGAAAAGTATATATTGCAAAGGACGACCAGCGGCTTTAACAATATGAAAATACGTACCTAGAACGTTTAACATTAAGAATGGTATTCATTTTATTAAGCAAAAGAACAACAAAAGCTTATATTGTGCATGAAAAATAATATCCATAATTGAAAATGAACTCAGCAAATAATGCAAATGTCATTAATTTCAATATTTCGTCTATGAATCTTTATATTAACAAAAATACTGTAAACCGTATAGAATTGGTAAAGTTATTAAGATCATCAGGTATGGTCAATTAAACAGGTGTATATACCTAGTCACGGTCTATACATATATTTTATTTATCCTGTAATAGGAAGAGCGGCCACGTGTTACTAGACCGAAATTACCCCTTTCTTTATAATCTCTCTTTTTCGACTGGATGCGTTTATGAGTGAGATTTTACAACTTAATGTCTTTTTAATGGTTTGTCTTCAATTACACATCCATGGCGTTGGCTTAAATAAACTTTTATAAAGCATATCTCTTGAATACTTTGAATTACTGTGGTTGTATTTTGTCATCATATAATAATGTCTTTGAGGATCAGAACATTTAAAGTGAAACCCATAAGTTTAACAGCCAAAAACTCGTCTGTAATGTACCCTTTTCAATTTATTTTATAACCAGATTTCACCTCAATAAAAAGTTATTTCTCTCTTTATTGAGCCTAGTCAATAGTTCTTTTGTATATATTGTATATCAAAGTGTTTAATGTTTAAATACTTTTTTAAAAGAACTGGTACGTAAAATGATTCCAAAACCTAAAACCAAAAAACAACAAAAACAAATGTCAGAAACTAGTGTGGAGATGAGATATGAAATGCACCGAACATTCATTATAATCTATATCAGTAAAACATTTTAATTAAAAACTATCAAAAATATGAAAAACAAAAAGTCCTCTAATCATAAGTGCGGTCAAATCGCTCCACATCAGCACCACAAGATTTGTATATTCTTTGCCACATCAACACAAGATATGTGCAGCAGCAACACAAAGTCTGTGCATCAGCAACAAAAGAGCTTTATGTAATAGGCAAACACAAGATTTTTGCATAAACACCACAATATTTGTACAATGTAGAAGAACAACACATGATTTATACACTACAATCACTACATCAACATCTAATAATTTGTTCATCAGGAATACAAGGATTTTACATTGTTTTAGGTATTAAATAGGGGAGAATTTGTTATTTTCCCTGATAAATGTGATGTGGTGTCAGGTATTCTAGAAAGGACACAAACGCTCTGCCCCGTAACAAAACATTTTGAGTGACAGTGTATGCTACACTTGGATTTTCTTTTCGAAATGTAACCCCAAGTACCATGGTTCGAATTATTCTGCTTCATGTTATAAAGGCTTCGTCACGTTAATGGGTAAATCTAGTATACCAATGGGCGACATGATTTTAGAATATAATGTATTTATTTTTAATCATTTCAGATTCAATTCACCAGATGCATTTTCATTACAATGTGTCACATCTCGAACCAAGTGAAAAAATTTTACAAGCAGAATTTCGTGTGTTTAAAATGCGACCGAAACCTTCGAATTTTGGAGAAGTTATGCCACCACATGTTGTAGAGGTGAGTAAAGTAACCCGTTGAAAGCATCTTTTTTATGTATTTTTTTTATTTAAGATATGTTTGATTATTTTGACAAATTATGGTCTTTATTAGGTTACCGACAGTAGCGGATCTAGAAGCTGTGAATAGGTGGGTGAGGATGGGGGGGGGGGTCGGACGGTTCCAAATCTAGGGCTCCATCCACCATACAATGAATGTCAACGAAATACATAATAAAATGCATAAAATAACGTTGGGCAGTGGCGATCGCCGCAGGTATTGACCACCTAAAGGGGGGTTCGGGGAATTTTAGTTAATTTCCTGGCATTTGAGGTCATTGCTTGGATCAAATTCATAGCACTGCGTCCTGGGCGGTTCATAAAAACCTTGAATATTTCAGATAGCGACGCATCATATGTAATACACTGAGCTGTTAAGCCACGCCCCCCTCACCCCACCCCCATATTACCAGACTGGAAAACTGTTTGTTCAGAATGATTCGATCATCCTGGTGGCTCTATCTCCGGGTTAATTGGCTATCACTTGACACACAACCAGCGTTAGGCGGTCTGAAGACGGGATTTTACACCCCCCCCCCCCAAAAAAAAAGAAAGAAACACAAAGAAAAACAATGTTCCGACGACGATCTTCGCTGAAACCGTCGCCCCGACATACGTTTGTAACGACACTAGCAGATGCAGATGCGCCTAACGCAAGCATTTCCTGTGACATGGTGTACCTCACTCTGACTGGAATTCGAATTCTTGTTAACCAGTGGTGCTACCATCGCCCGTGTACTCTTCTCTTGTCGTCTTGTGGACAGTTTATTTGTGATCGGAAAAGTCGTTCATGACCGCTACTTGGCCAAACTAGCTGGAAACTACTTATTTCTTTAAATAAAATACGGTAACCCCGCCTACAGTTATAATTAGGTATCGGTAGGTAAGTGCACGGTAAACTTCATTTGGCATGAATACTCTGTAGTAGAAATATAAGGTTTAAAAAATAAAGACTGAGGAAATAATTGACAGAAACAGATATTCTCAAGAACGTTATACACTAATATAATACCTTTTGTACTCACATTTTAATTCTACTTTTCCCCCTCGTTGCAGATGTGTATTTATCAAGTATTAGATATTAAAAATATAAATGATAAAGCCGGGCTGCGTCTGTTAGATAAAAGATTAACAACAGCGCATGGTCATGGTTGGCAAGTCTTTCAAGTTACTAAAGCTGTTGATAGTTGGAGAAACAAGACAGAACCAAATTATGGTACGTATATATATATATATCTATATATCTATAGCACCTCTTCCCTGCACCCAACACAACACACGTCCACACCTTCCACGCGTCATATACAGTGCGTTTAGAGATAAAACGCTTTTGTGTACTTAATGACCACCCTTATTGCCCTGATCGCTCCAGATGCCAGAACAAATTATGACAACCAATTTACATTTCTAGACACATATGCATATACATTTCGAGCAATGTGTTTTATCATTATTAAAAACACGAACATCAAAATTTACAAAAAAAATGGATTAAAAATAATGTTTATTCTGTGCATCCAGAACCTAACTTTTATTCTGGTAAATCATTGGTATCACTTTTCTCAATTAATAAAGTGAAGCACCCTAATTCGGATGTGCCCTATTTTGGCGTGGATTTATTTTATTAGCGATATACAAACTCCCCAGGACCATGGATGCCCGGTGTTTTAACGCAGGACAACCAAAGAAAAACCTTTGGGATTTTTCAATCCAGATTTGCTCTTGTCATGGGCTAAATGTGTCTATCCTTTTGAATAGGGCAGAATCCAAAGTCTTGCATATAGATTGGTAGTTTGCGTAAAGGATCACTTAGCAGTAAGAATTCGAAGAAGCGTAGATGGCTTTCCCACGTAACCACAGAAATTCCGCTTATATCTTTTCCATCAGCTTTAGCGCCCAAATAATCGGTAATTCAGTAATCTCCGGTTGCATAATGACGAGTTATCTTCTCGTTAGCTTGAACAGAACTCTAGATTGTCAGAAATGAACTATTGTTTGTAAACTGTGGTGTAATCGGTATGGTTGAAGTGAAATTTTGTATAGCCAAATCATGTTCCATCGAAATTCACCCAATTGATGGAAAGAAACATTTGTCAAAGAATATCATAAATCGGACGGCAAAATGGCCAATTGCCAGACGTAGCACAAACTCTCAATTTATATATAACGTTTTCAAATTTGTTCTTTTTAGGATTTTTGGTGACTACAACTTCTCGGAAAGGTGAACATGTTAATGGTAGTTTTATTCGATTTGCCCAGAGGAATGAACACCATGACAGTAAACAACCTATATTAGTCATATTTACAGATGATGGGACGGTCAGACATCCAACTTACATATCTCCAGAAGATGATGGTACGAGTTTTAGTTAATCTTAATTTATCTTCATGTTGTCAGATTTAAAAAGTAGCCTATTGTCCACAAATGCCTGGAACATGGGCGTAAGTTATGGAGGGATGATTAGAGGGTAGTTCTGTGATGGCGTCTTGGATCTGTTCATAAGATCGCAAATAGGAAAATACCTTAAAGGGCAATGGTGTGATGACGTCTTGGATCTTTTTGTATATTTCTTTGTACATGTGACCTATTGTTTACATGGTTTAAACCAAACCGAGTTGCGCGTTGGGGATATTTACACAGTATCAGCCAGCATAAGCTACGCTCCTGTGGTTGTTTTTCCCACGTTTTTTTTGGATTCAATCATGAGTATTTCTAGCAGCAGTTCAGTTCAAATTTGTACAATTCATGTTATGATATTCGTAGGTCTTCTTGGATCTAATAATAAGTGTAGGCGGGGAGGGGGCAAAATATCACCAAAATAATTTCGAAAATATTGACATTTTTTTTACCTTCATAATGTTTGCACTACAGGTTATTTGGAAACAAAGGAAGGGGCTCTTCGAGTAGAGAAAAGGCGACCCAAGCATAGAAACAGCAAGTTCCTGGAAATGTTGAGACTCATGAATGAGGGCGGTAGAGCCAGTGCACATAACATGACACGGGGAACCAGGCGGCGCAGACGTAGAAGTGTTCTAAATTCAAAAAAGAAAAATGGTGGACGAAAGAAGCGAACGTATGATGTTTATAGTCGATCTCGGAGTAAAAGATCGTGTGCTAGACAGGATATGTATGTAGATTTTGATGAGATCGGTTGGTCAGGGTGGATTATTTCGCCGAAAGGGTACAATGCCAACCACTGCTCAGGTGAATGCCCATTTCCTTTAGGACAAAGTCAGAAACCCACAAACCATGCAACTGTTCAAAGTATTGTACATGCTTTACGTGTGGGGAAAGGTGTAGGAACACCGTGTTGCGTACCCAATAAACTGTATTCTATAAGTCTGCTATATTTTGACGATGATGAGAATGTTATATTGAAGCAGTATGACGATATGGTAGCAGCTACGTGTGGTTGTCACTGATGTAACTCGTCAAGCTACGACCGACAACATACTGATATTGGTGCAAGCGTACAGTGCTATCTTTAATTATATTTGTGAAGCCGAAACTGAATCTTGGGAAAGGAAAAGAAACTCTTTGAGGATATGGAATGGCTGCCCTTGTTATTAAATAATGATAATGTTAACATGACGTTTCTTTGTTTGACGAATAATAATTTCCGTGTGTTTATCAAATAATAACTTGGCATTGAGAATGTTCTGACAGATTATACTTACTGACAGACAGCAAGGGCGATAGATACGGGTGTTCTTTTTGGACAAGGTGGTTTCAAATGAGTTTTATCCCGGAACCCTACTCCGATTAGGCGAGGATTGGATCAGTTTAGTTGAGATTTGAATAACTACATATATTTAATATTTAGAACGGAAAAGCAGGTTTCCAGTTCTTGTGAATGGAGTGATACCTGTTTTATAAACCAAAGATAAAAACAATGTGATGTTAGATCCCTGAACTTAAGGAAACATTTTAATTGCAGAAGTCGGATGTATTTTCATGGGTAAAGCCAGTATGTGAAAAGCCTCGAGATTATAACAAAATAATTTGTAGATATAGGTAAATATCACACAGACCCTTTATCCTTGAAACTAATCTGCATAAGTTTTAATAAAGTTCAAATTTTAGAAGCCACGAAGATGTAAGGATGTGTTGTCCTGAATTGAATATCCCGACAGGGGGTATAACCACCATAGTTGTCGATGACAACGTTAGGGTGCAGTAGGTGGTCTTATTATTAAATACTGGTGAAGCATTATGAAAATAACATTTCAAATACTGTCAAGAGGAGGGTTGAAGTAATATCGTGTAGCTAAACGACCTCGTTAAATCCGATTGATATATAGGCGATTAAAGAACTGTAGTAATAAGACGAGGTTAGAGAAAATGGTTTGTGTTCTACATGATTTATATGTGTGTTCAGTCGGTTGTGCTGGAAGTGTATAATAAATGTGACGTTGAGGTAGTTTTAATGTAACTGTTATCATTCTTTAGTCTAAATGGAAACTACATGTTTCCAAACATAGCGCTTTATATCTACGTTCTACACACCAATATGTACTGATATCAATTTTATTTTCAAAAGAAAAGTATTAGCTCCGCCCAGAACCACTTATCAAAATTGTTGACATTTTAAAAAGGGTGATTTCGGTTAAGAGTGTAGGACACAATGTACGCATACCTATCTTAATGTACTCATAGCTACCGAACTAATCTAAATACTGATTCCGGTTAAGAGGGCACGGCACAATATACGTACATCACATGTAGCCCAATGGTAATGTTCTCGTAGATATCGAACTAATCTAAGTACTGATTTCGGAAGGCTATATACCGAGGGAATTACCCCTGAATAAAGTCTACGTTAAGATAAAGAATGGCTTGATTAAATCTTATTATTACATTATAAGGCGGGTTTAATAGAGTGGCTTCCAACATTGAAGTCTTTGTGTAAAATAAATAGTCACCCAACACCAAGATAAGCGTTAAACTGTGGCCCAGTGTATTATTTAGATATTGCAAAATACAACAATTAACCAATAAGAAAAATCTTCCAAATCCTCACTGGAAGAGGCACAACCATTTCAGATTACGTAAGTTGATATTGAAAGGGGCCACCCCAAATAGATTGTTTGGAATAAATATTGATTGATTAAGTACGTTATTGACGACCAAGAAGTGTACACCTCATATCTACCAACCCACAAAAATATGTCAATGCTAACAGACTCTATCTACAATGACGCTATTCTTTTTTTTCGTCTTACAATAAAATTACCCGTTGTCTAGATAATGCTGAACTCGGGCTAAAACAGCGACGCTATAGAATGTCGTTATGATCCTGAGTGTGTTCCTGGCTTCAATAACACAATTGGTGCAGAAAATCAAAACGTTAAACCCCGCGTCATTTCATTTCTAAAGCGTATTAAAATAGTGTTTTAGTTACTTTAGATTATGAATTGTTTCAATGGCATTTAGTAATTGAACTGGAAATACGCAGGTCGCAATTCTATGAAATACAATTAATCATAATAACGGCAAGAGAATTCTGGTTGATAAATTAATAGTAATTGTATTCCATAGAATTGTGACCTGTGTATTGGATTATGAAGTTGTTGATTTTGGCTTTAAGAAAATATAATTTTGTAAATAGTTTCATTTTGTCTATATATTGTAAACATATATTTAATTCATTGTAAATAATCACACTTGTTCATATTATATATAGATATATTATTAAAAGTGTTAGTAAAATCAGTGTATTTATTCCTGTGTTCCAAAGACCAAGAGGTCGGGCGTGTGTGGAGGAGTGCATTTAATTCTTTGATCAAAAGAAGGTGGAGGTGGGGATATTTTACTAAGTCAGAATGACTTGAAGGAAGCAGGTGAATCAGGAAAGGGCCGAGTGATGGTGGTGGGGGGGCATGGTTGTAGAGTAGACATTGGTGATCCTGCACGATAAAGAAGGCTGATTTCCTCGGTCAACTGCGTTAACTTTCCATGTTAAATATGAATGTTGTTTAATCTCTGTGATAAAATTGTGTTTGAACCCCGTGGTTGATTGAATCGGTACCAGAACAACTACAGGTGAGTATTTAAAAATTGTATCACGGTTCCGGACATTTGTACATGAGTCACGATTTTACACGTTTTCTTGGAAAATGGCTCATAATAATGAGACGTAAAATGACCGTTACTTTATTTAGCTTGAATATCCTGTATTAAGCACTGTGTTTAATTCTACGAAATCCAAGAAAGTATTGGGGAAAATTCCCACTCATAACAGATGTCAGCGATGGAATTGGCTCTTAGACCCACGGTTTATAAAATGAATTATCCGAATGAGGAAACAAACTATTAAGGGCCAACATTTCCGATTGCAAATCTACCCTTCAAACTGTCAATACCATTCATACAACAAGAGCATGGCTATCGCTGCAATATACGTCCACATTCCTGCTTTGATTCATATGGTACTTTTTAGAATGAACAGTATGAAATATGAAATGGCTGCAAAGAGGCAAAGAAGGCTAGGCGTTGGGTTTGTTTTGCCAAATTTACAGACTAAATATTAACAAAGAAGTGGGTGTTAAACCTCCCCCAGGTGTCGAGGCATGCACCAAAATAAATAGTTGTTGTCTTTGCGATATAAGGAATAAATATGCAAAGTTAAAAGATGATCCATTGAAATTGCAGTCGGTAGACGATAAACACAAACATTGGGCGTGGCTCTGTTCCTGGGGGTTGGATATGCAACAATATAAATAGGTACAACAATGTTATTTAAATGACTGATATGCTGAATAATTGCAACCTGTAGACTATTTACAGACAAAATATTAACAAAAAAGTGGGTGTGGTACAACCCTGGGGGGTTGGGACATGCACCAAAATAAATAGTTGCTATCCTTACGGCATACGGAAGAAATATGCCAAGTTCCAGATTGGATCGATTCAGAATCCCAGCGTGTAGACAAAAAAACCCCACAAAAACTGTGCGTGATTCTGCCCCTGGAGGTTGGACATGGACCAATATAAATAGGTACAACGCTATGATGGATCATACTGAATTGGATCAAAAAATGTAAATAATTGCAACCTGTACATTACTTACAAAAAGTGGACGTGGCAGTAAACGATAAACACAAAAATTGGGCGTGACTCTGTCGGGACACGCATCAAAATCAATAGTTGCCGTCCTCGGGCTATAAGAATATATATAACAAGTTCCAAGACGACCCATTAAAAATTGTGGCCTGTATGCAACACAAGAAAATGGGTGTGGCTCGGCCTCTGGGGGCTCGGGCATTCACTAAAACAATAGGGATCATCCTTAGGGTATAAGGAATAGATATACAAAATTTCAAAATAATCTGTTAAGAATTGCGACCAGTAGACGACACAAAGGCAGGGGGTCGGGTATGCACCAAAATAATAAGAGGTCCTCCTTATGGTATAAGGAATAAGTATAAACAGTTTTCAAGACGACCCATTAATAATTGCAGCATGTATGGGGCATACCGACACACAAAAAGAAAGTGGACGTGTCTGTCCCTGAGGGTTGGGCATGCACAAAAACATAAGGGCATAAGGAATAAGTATGTACAGTTTCAAAGGGATCTGTTAAGAATTGCGACCTGTAGACGACAAACAAATACACAAAAATTGGGTGTGGCTCTTCAATGGGGGTCGGGCATACACCAAAACCCCACCCAAACATACATACACACCCAAGGACGACGGCATAATACGTAGGGGACACACAGACGCACAAAAAGAAAATGGGCATGGCTATGTCCCTGGGGGTTGTGCATGCACAAAAACATAAGGGCATAAGGAATAAGTAAGCACAGTTTCAAAGGGATCTGTTAAGAATTGCAACCTGTAGACGACAAATACAAAAAAATGGGCGTGGCTCTTCCCTGGGGGTCGGGCATACACTAACCCCCCCCCCCCACACACACACACACACACACACACACATACATACACAGACACCGAAGGGCGACGGCATAATACATCCACATTATGAATGTGGACGTATAAAAATATACCTAAATAAGTGTCATTATGTAGTAGTATGAATCCTGCTTTAAAGCTTGGCAGATTTACTCCCCTTTGCAAATGGAGATCGCAGTCCGACTTATCTAATTCCTGGTTCAACATATCTTCTTATCGATGTATCAACTACCAATTATAATATTTTCGGGATTACCCGACCGGTGGAATAATTTATGATTGGGGGCGGGTCTACCATCCTTGTGCATTGCCCCTGGAGTTCCTGGTCGGAGATGCTAACGAAACTACTCAGCATTGAAGTTTTAATTTTTTTTTCTAAATCCCTTACCACGAAATAACAAGGTCGTGGACCACTAGATGTCACAATCTTTTTCCGATTTTATAACCCAAAGATCTCGGTTCCTGTCGATATTCCTGGATTATGGCCTCTGTACTAAAAATCAAATTTTGAGCTTCTGGACTCTCCAGAGGTCACAGTTTTCCTTTGATTGTAAAAACCGTTAAAATATCACCGTTACATCATAATTACGGCTGAGTTTAAATTTCGTGAAAATCAGACCGAAACTGTCCGACAAAATGGCCACTCCCATTTACGCATAGTGTAAAAGCACGTAATACCAAGGTATAAGTGGACCATCTACAGGTCAGAATTTTCATCCGATTTTGATGAAACTTAAACATACATTATGCAAGAGCTAAATCTGCCTATTGCAAGTCGTTCTTTAGGAATGAAATGTTACATAACCTATTAATTAGACATTTATTAACATGAACAGACCTTAATCCACTCTTGATGCCATATTATGTGTTCGATTTCCACTGGATTTGAATCCGATCTGCTGCTCAACGCTCATTGATGATTAAATGCAAAAATGGATAATCGAATTGTACCGATTTCAGTAATGATGATGGAGGCTAGGCCTTAAATTCAATCGCTAATATCTCGGTTCAAAGTGGAGCAATTTGACTGAAATTTTCAGCATATTCCTGTACATTATTTAGTTTGTAACTATTATAGTGAGAACTGTCAGCTCTTTATCTAATCTTCCATAATGCCCATTTAAAAATATGTTTATATCCCAAAGATCTGGATTCTTTTCAATCTTGGCTGGGGTCACGGTGGCTAAGTGGGTAAGACGCTGGCTCGCTAGCCTGGAGATCGGGTGTTTGATCCCTGCATTGGCCGAGAAAGTTCATCCAGATTTTCCTGCGTGGTTCCCCCTTGTCAGTGATGCAGGACGGAGGGCCTGACAAGGACAGCTGTCTAGTCGTTGGGATGGGACGAACAACCGAGGTCCCGTGTACACATTCGCGTGCACGTAAAAGATCCCTTGACAGTTGGAATTCGATATAAGAGTAGACCGTAGTGCCGCTGTCCGGGCAAAATTTCCCTCATAGCACACTGTATGGCGTATGCCCGTCTTCATTAGTCCAGTTCGGAGCAGAACATTAGGACCTTAAACCCCATTTCATTTCATTTTCAATCTTGGCGTGTAGTGGACCGTAATTGTCTGGATAGCTCCTGATTGTACCCTCTAGATGTCACACTTTTTTTCAAAACTGTTCAAATATATCACCGTTACACCATAATTATGAGTGAGTCCGAATTTCCTGAAAATCCGACCGACAATTCTCGTCAAATGGCCGATCCCCGTTACGCAAATTGTGTAAAAGCATGTAACCAACAAGGTTGTGGACCGTCAAGAGGTAACAATTTTCATCCGATTTAGATGAAACATAAAACGAGTGTCACTAGTTCTTGGATGAGTTGCGCAAAATATCCAATATAAATAAAGTTTGTGGACCTTCCTGAGACGATAATTTTTGTCCGATTCATAAGATGAAATTTAAACTATGTGTCAAGGATACAAAGTTTTTGGATGAGTTCGACTTCGGTACGTATCAGATCTTCCATTCTAAAGCTACAGCCAGTGCTTTTTTCGCAAAATGTGAAATATGTATGAAGTTTGTAGATCCTCCAGAGGAAGTGAGATGGACTTGAAATAAAGATCGACTGTTTAGCTAACTAATCGCCTCTATCGCAATTGGGGGATCAGTATAGAGTATAACAGGTTTTTATTTTTTCTGATAGTCTACATTCTAGAAGTCTCACTTCTATGTTAAAATGAGGCTTCGTCCAGTTACGTAATTGTATCTAACCGAATAGTTACTTGCGTGCAATAACCTTGGTTTGCCTCCACGTCGACCAATAAAGTAATACTGTTTTCATAACTGGAGTTTACTCTTCAGTAAATGATTTATTTCCCCCCTCACTGTTTGTAATATGGTGAACAAAGCTACGAGCTCACTGTGACATCCTTGTCAGTCCCGCCAGTTTTATCGGTGATGATAAGAAAATTGTCCATTGCTTCTACAAGGTTTCCTTCGATGTTATCGGATCATCCAGTTTCGCATTCACAGTCAGGGCCTTGGCCATGGTTTTTGAGACGCCTATCTTTAGATAAGTGATCTCTTTGCAATATATTGCATACTCTTCATAATTGGCAGTATTTTAGTGTGAATTAAGCGTGTACAACCCACGTCTCTTAGCTTTTACATTTAGGTCCACTGGATTCCTTGGGGGACTGCCGTTGGTATTTTTAACAATCCATTGCCAATTTTGTGTGTGTATCCATTCGGAAAAATTGAAATAGATTATCTTCAAGAAACGAAAACATCTTGTC